GAATGGCTCAATGGGAGGGATTAATATTTATAGAAAGATCAGAGCCTACGGCAGTTTTCACAAAGCATCTCCCCAGTCTGTAATGGAGTTAAAATCAGGACAGCTTTCATAAAGAGGCCCGTCACGTTCCATACTGAAACGCGGACCAGGTAACACTTCTGCGCACTCTGGGCAGCGGTTTGCGGTTTTTGTTTTGTTGCGGGAACCTGGCGCAACACTGAACCCTCAGTGCTTCCCCCCCTTCGCACCAGTTTGTGATCAGAAATTGCGACTTAAGATTCCAATTGTATCGGCTGTAGATTTATTGGCAAAATATTTTACTTGAAATTATTACTTTCATTTACGAATTGGTCTGTTTTCTCCCGCCGCTGTTCTCCTCGCCTCTGAATGAGCTGATGTACAATTCCTGGGGTGACAGGAGCCTTCCTGTGTCTCTCCCAAGTGTATTTCATGCACTGTCCCAAACAATGAGTTTCAGCAGACTACTTACCAATGGGCGGAGGTCAGAGTCCAGTCTGTTTCAGTCATTAATAATGATAATCCTTGCATTTGACATAGCGCCTTAGCACGTCTTCGAGACGTCTTAAAGCGCCTCACAGACTATACCGTGCGGGTGAATTGACTCTAGATTTTGTGGGCGAAACGGGGCAGCCCGTTGCGCACAGCAGCGTCCCACAAACAGTCGTGGATTGGGGCGACCAAATTATTACTGTTAATATAATTTTTTTTTTGGAGCATTATTACCCCCGGTGAAGCCATCGCCCACCGATTAACAGCCGGATTAGTACTTGACTCGCCTTTTCAAACGCCCTCCTCCTGGCTCTCCCCAACTTAACCGAGCACAGGAGCGGCCCACATGGCTCCCCTGCACTGAATTCCACTCCCCCATCTCACTGGTTCTAGCGATGGGTCCCTATCGGCGAACGGATCGATTTCAAAATCCCATGAAGCACTTAGAGACGTGAAGGTGAGCTGGTATTCAAAAGCAAGGATTATTGTTCATATGATCATCATTGCATTTTCCAATCTTTTGCGAATCCTGCGCCTCTTACAGCCCCTCGTGGAAAAAAAAAGAGAAAAAAATTGATGCTAATTAAACTATTGTTTTCAGAATCAAGTCAATTCTTCCCAAAATCCGGTGCCTTCGGGATAATTTAATAATAACCGGATAATTTTCTGTAATTTGAAGATATATCCTAAATGTTAAAGAAAATTGGCTTTTTTTTTTTAAAAAGCACTTGTTTTACAAATGCTTAGCCTCTGGCTGAGAAGAATGATATCTCCATCATGCCACAGTAACCTCAACCGAGTTATAAATGATAGCCATGGGCTGGCCAGTGCGACTGAAGAAAACCTTATTGACAACCGCCACTGACGCAGAGAGGACCGAGGACGGTAAATGGATGTGAAAGATAAGTTCACGGGGCACGTCTATGGGAATTCCTTGTTTTTAGTTCAGCCCGAGGCATTATTACCGTTCAATTCAGGCTTCCGCCGCTGCTGCCTGAGATCCGACCACAATTGCTTGCCGTCGTAGCATTTTTAAATACAAGTGACGTTACTTTTCTTCCTGTTTTCTTTGGTGGTGGGGGGTGGGGGGTGGGGGGGGGGGGGGGGGAGTTCTCACTGGGTCATGATCCCGCAGTGGGTGAGAGGTAGGCCTGATTCCAGCGCTCTCTGTTAGTCACGGACGCTTTAGTGGACTGTGAGCCGGCCGCAGGTGATGCTATCATCTCCCACTTGGGAAAGAGCCTGACCTCCCGGTCGCTTCCTCCCCCCCCCCCTCCGAAGAAAGCACAAGTTCAGATGTAAAGTAATGTGGAGCATTGGGAGGGAGCGTGTACTCCTGGTCTCCCAGCCTGTGTGAAGTGAAGTACACCGTAGCGTTAAACACTCTGCTTCTCCTCTGCTCTTTCCAGATTCTAGTTGCCTGAGCTCTCAGAAAGAATTGTGCGACACGGACGAGGGGTAAATGAGGTTGGCTGAACCCCATGGTACATGTCCACCCTGACGAGAGAGTTGTTGAGCTCCGGACGTCCTCCCGACGTGAAAAGCGCTATATCAAATGCAAGGATTATTATAATTATTATTATTATCTTGAATGTTATCGGTCTTTTGACACTCCACCGCACTGGATAAGCACTGGATTATGGTGACTTCTTAGCCCACTGAATTTATATTTTCGCTTGAGTGTCCAGACTGGCTCAGGTGGTAACACTCTTGAACCTGGGAGTCAAAAGGTTGTGGGTTCAAACCTGGCTTTGGGATTTTGAACAAGTCTAGAGAAGTCAACCTGACCTGACAACATAAAAGTACTGTACAGATGGAGGTGCCTTTCCTTGTTGGAGATGTCAAACTGAGATCTTGTCTGTCCGCTCAGGTGGGTCAGTGTTTGAAAAGTGAAGGGAGATTCTCCGTGTGTGCCGCCGGGCGAGTCATTTTTCAGGTAAAATTGGTCGTTCACGCGTAAGATATTGTTCGTAAGATATCATTGCGCTTAGATTGGCTGCCACGTTTACCTACAAATACACAGTCATTGAACGTCACAGTGAATCCTGTGTAGTTCTTTGAGACAATCTGAAGACGTGATCAGTCACTATCACAAATGAAAAGATTATTATAATTCTTCCTCTTACTATTATTGTATGCAGTGCTAAAGAACACTGCACTAAATATGGTACCTTCACACGACCGATAAGTGGACGATCTGATGGTAATCACGTTAAAAGACCAACAATGATAACCCATTCCATTCACCTTATGTGAACGCGTTAAGGCAACGTTATTACGTCACAAATTCTGAACAATTTCGAGTCCCGAAACTGTTCAATTCTTATTGGCTTTAAACTGTGACGTGTGTCCCGGAGAGGCTGGTTGAGCATGGTGTGTGTAGCTGTACCCACGCACGAGGTAGATAAACTGATCCAGGCTGTAAGCATTGATTTGTTGTGCAGTGCTACTGAAATAGTACAATACAATAAAAGATCACCATCTATTGGAAATGCCTCAGCATTGCAGGTTTTTATTTTACTGGGATAAATCAGGCACGCACACATACATTTAATACTACTACTACTAATAATAATAATCCTTGCGTTTCATGTAGCGCCCCATCACGTCTTCGAGACGTCTCCAAGCTCTTCACAGAATATACGGTGAAGTGAGATGACTGCGCATTTGTGGGCGAAACGCGGCAGCCAATTGCGCAAAGCAGCGTCCCCACAAACAGTCGTGGATTGAAGTGACCGCTTTATTATGGTTTTTTTTCTTGAGGGATTATTATCAGGTGTGTGTGTGTGTGTTGTGTGTGTGTGGTGAGTGAGGAAACTTGCCCAAGGTTTCGCTCTGACCTGCCAGGAATCGAACTCAGGTCTCTCGCTTGCGAGGCGAGGGCTCTTGTGCGTAATGAGTGTCAAGTCTGTAGTTGGATGCCGTTTGTACTGTGGTGGCTTGGATCCTCGTTGTCATGGGTCACGTTATAAATGTGGCCGCCAGTCAGCCCGTCCAACTCGTCAGGTCTTGCTGCGGATGTCAATGGTGACCGTTCCCACAAGCTTTTGCAGCTGTTGCTGAGATGGCAGTCGATGCTGGGAGATGCTTTCCAATCTCTCCCCCTGCACGGGAAGCTGACCCCTCAGCGCTGGATGACCGATAGATTGCGCCCTTCATACGGGATAGTGTCTTGGAGCTCCGGGCAATGGCTTAGTTTGTCGCTGAGTCTGAAAACTGAGTACAATGTGGAATAATGGGGTGCCATTGTATGTGCATTTTCTCCCATTCCTCCTATCCCCTCAAGTTATTTGACTGTTGTCCTTTCACTGGGGTTATGGATTCGCACGTATCCTTCGGTACCTCTCTCTCGGCCGTTGCTCATGTGCGAACCGTGATGGTGAGCGTTGGAGGGTTTTTGCAATCCCTGGAACAAAGGCTATTGCAGCCTTACATGATACTGTTATCACCCAAAGGGCCATGTGTGAGCACCTTCTATCAGCGAACAGCTTATCGCTAGCAGAGACCCGAGCTGGTGCTTTCCTCGCTAACCTTAGGGCATCGGAGCCAATTGTAGACTCCAAACTGCTGGCCCTACTGAGAACATCAGGAGGACGCCTCACAACACATTCCCAGTACCGGCTGGGCACCTGCTGTGGAGGTGGGGTCTGAGAGGGTTGGGAGGGCAAGGTGTCCGAAAACTTCCTGGTCGGAGAAAGAGTGGAAGGGAGGAGCGAGTGGGAGAGACTCTGGGATCCGGTTCCAGTTAAATCAGCAGCGGACCGAATCTTAAACGGGATTTCTGTTTTTCAAACGTTCCAACATGTTGAATGACGTGGAATTTTTAGGAGACTGAAACAAGCCGTTTGGCTCAACTCCGCTCTACGTGTTGTCTTCTCTCTCTTGTGCGCGCGTCAAGTTTTCCTCTTAAAGTCGGGCAATGAGTACTCCTTCTGACACCCGAAGCGTGATGAGCTGACCTGCTGGCCTCCTCCGCGCTTCAAGGCAATCCATCTCCAGAGAGGAATTTCTTGTTGGTCGCGGGAATTCTAAAGGAAAGAAACCTGTGAACGAATCGGGGGGAGGGGAGGGGGAACGGAGAGGAAAAGTACTGAACAGCATTTTAAGTTGATTACAGGTTTTAACGCTGAAAATAACTCCTTTCACCTGCCTGACGGGGTAACGGGTCAACCCCCTTCGATATCACCTGTAGCCTCCCACGCCTCCCGGTTCTCTTTCCTTTTCCTCCTCTGAACTTTTCCTTTCTTCTCCCTTCCTCCTCTCCTCTATCTTCTCTTCTCCTCTCCTCTCCTCTCCACGCAGTCGTCAGGCAAGCGCTCGCTGCATTAACTTAACGCCTCTCGCTCTCTCTCTCTCGCTCTCTCTCGCTCTCTCTCTCACTCGCTCTCTCTCGCTCCCTCTCTCCCTCTCTCTCTCTCTCCTCTCACTTTCTCTCTCTCTTGACGCCATAGTTTCTAAGATTGCCTTCCCGTTTCCTCTATTCCCTACAGGCTGACAGTCGCCGCGGCTCGGATACAGTCGATAGAGTTGGCCTGAGGTGTTGCGCCGATGGGGGACACTGGCTCGAGACGCTCCACCCTTGTCTCCAGGCTGCCGATATTCAGACGCAGCTCCGCGAAAAGGCAGGGCTCGTTACCTTCTTCCCCGTCCTCCGCCACCAATGGAGCCCACACCTCGTCCCCCTCCAGCACCAACTCCAGCTCCAGTAGCGCCGGCAAGCGCCGGGGCATCTTCCGCGCAGCCTCCATCGGCTTCCACGGCAAGAAGAGCCACGAGCCGAGGGCGGAGGCCAGGAACTCGGCCCCCCACCTCTCGAACGGCCTCCCTCTCCCGGAGCAGCCGCAGCCAGGCGCGGAGAAGAGCGACGAGGGCGTCAAGTCGAAGGCCAGGCATCCGTTCGGGTTCCCCGGCAGCTCGAGGGGCAAGAAGATCACCAGGTCGGTGACCGAGGACTTCGTGAAGGGGAAGGACCCGTCCGCCAACAGGAATGTGTTCATCAACTGCATCAGCGCCGGGAGGTCCAGCTTCGATGAGGCGGACGATTCGGGCTTCCCTGACGACGACTCCAAGAAGCTCTCCTCCGCCAAGCACTCCGGCCGGAAACTGCTGCCCAAGTCCTTCTCCACGCATGCCAAGCTCTCCAAGCAGGCCGCCCGGAGCCAGTCGGCCACGGCGGTGGACAGGCCCGTCGTCTCGCCGCGAGCCCATGAGGCGGAGAGCGAGCCCGGCATCGAGGCGCGCCCCCCCGCGTGTCTGTCGGGGAGAACACCGCCGAGAATTCCCTGCTCTCGAACGACCACACCACGGCCCAAACCCCGTCTGAGTTCACGCCGATTTCAGCGGATTCCATCTCGGAGGCCGACAAGGAGTCCCCGGGTACGCTCGAGTGTCAGCCCGCGAGCCCTGCCCCTATCCCCGCGGGCCCGTTCCGGCCGGCCGCTGGTTCCGGACCGAGCCCCTCGCCGCGAGTCGAGCGCGCTCCACGGAATGAGACCGAGGCCGCCGTTGAAACTCCCGACCGTCATGGGGAGAAGGGAGCCGAGAGCGGACGGGCGCCCCCGCCTGAACCCGGGACGGCAAGTCCGAATGCAGGCGAGCGGCGGGCAGGTCAGCGTCCGGAAACGAAGGAGGCTAGTTCGGGAGAAGCCCGGCAAAGGCCGCCCGATCTCGTCGCAGCGATCTCCCCCGTCGCGCACGGCGTACCTTCGGTGCGGAACGGTCTGGACGTGCTGGATCTATCTGCTGCCGAGGCTTATAAGCTGCCGATCGCGAAACCCGTCTCAGTCGCTAAACCTCAGGAGCAGAGCCACGGGACCTCGCAGTCGACAGGTACGTACGGCGATTCGGCGCTCTCGGGGCTTGCGCCGTGTCCTGTTTGTGTCGGGCCGCGAGATCTGAATTGGTCCGTTTTAAGAATCGGGTTAAGCCCGTTCGCTTCTTTGAAATAAGTTTGCAGACGGTACTTCCAACGCTGTCTGACTTTTATGCCGCCGTTCTGGCTGCATCGCCAATGGGTGTTGTATTCACGTGGGTAATAATAATAATAATCATAATAATAATCCTTGGGTTTGATACAGTGCTTCATCACGTCTTCGAGACGTCTCAAAGCGCTTCACAGGATATGCTGTCAAGTGAGTTGACTGTGTATTTTGTGGGCGAAACGCGGCAGCCGATTGCGCACAACAGCGTCCCACAGACAGTCGTGCTTGGAGGGTAAATCCATCAACAGGTTTAACATGATAATTGTGTATATATTGGGGGTCTAACTTACGATACATGATGAGAGAGAGGGTTTTCCGCAACAATTACTACAAACTTCCACAATACAAGAAAGAAACCCCCTCCCCACCCCCCCCAAAAAACTGGCAGCTCTTCATCTGTCATTGACGATTGCTCAAACATAGCTCAAAGCTGCTTCCAGCACTGGACTGCGCTTTGAACGATGAGACTATCCCTCAGGTAGATAATGAGGAAACAGAGTGCATATCTGCTTTGTTTGGCTGTTTGAACGCGAGAGCCTATGACATCTTGTGGATTATCTGCCAAAGGAAGATTGGGGAGTGGATAATGAAGGGTCCATTGATGTCTGGTCGCTGAGAAATAAGTACTAAACCAGCAAAGGAGTGTGTTCTTCAGAAAACGCCGCCACCGAAGAAATCCCGACAGCTTTTGAATGCTTCCAAGCAAAATTCGCGCACCCGCTCTCAGAGGCGTTTCGTGCTTCACGCTGCAGAGGCATTTGGAAAAAAAATTAATCGAGGAGTTCTGTGCTCCAGGGGTTAATTGGAACTTCAGCACAGTGCAGCAGGAGGAGAAAGAGACGAGAGAGAGGGAGAGCGAGAACGAGAGAGAGGTGGGGCGGGGGGTGGGGGGGAAAGGCAGTGGGTTTTCGCAGAGAACGTTAGCGATGGCAACAGCTAATGATTTAAAGGAACTCGTTCCTGCGCTGAGATTTGGAAGTAATTCATTGCTGCTCAGTGAGATAAGCCACAGCCCTCCCTTCATCCTGGAGGAAATTACACTTTCTGCAGCGGCGAGAAGGATGAGATGGGTGGCTTCGACAAGAGAGCGAGGCATGGAATTTCCAGGCGCAAGCTTCCTGCTTATCTCGCCCGGCCCTGCCAGCCCCGTCACAGTATGCTGCAGCAGTCAGTCCCTAATGTAAATCCATTTTTAGATCTCCTCGTCCGAGCGCCTGTTCCTGGAGTGAAAGTTATTAAACGCACTATCGCGCTGCTCCTTCCGAAGAGCAATTTTCAGCTGCTTTACTTTCCATTCCAAACCCGTGATTGTTGCTTTCACATTGCTGAACAGCGATGCATTTTTTTTTAACAACGAGGACATGGGTTGGCATTCACGACAGGAAGCACATTCCAATGGAGATGCTTTATACCGAAGCTCTAAGCTCTTGTAACAGTGCGTCTGGTCTAGACGACTTAACCTACATCTCTCCCACCCCCCCCCATCACCGCCCCACAACACACACATTCCACCCCCTTAACTGTAACGAAAGGTTGAAGCGGTTTGAGCTTGTTCTCGCTGGAAAACCGGAGAAACATGATTGTGAGATTGTCCAGTGCTTATTTTTCAGCTTTTCTGCAGTTCTTGAAAAGACAACTGTTTCCAAATGAATAATAATGATGTAATAATAATAATCCTTGGATTAGATATAGCGCCTCTTCGAGTCGTCCCACAGCGCTTCACAGAATATACTAGTGTAGGGAGAGAGCAGGTTGGAGAGATGGGAGTGTGGGGGGCGATGTGCCAGGGCAGGAAGGGATTTAAATACAAGTGTGAGGATCTTGAAATCGATCCGCTCTGTTAGAGGGAGCCACTGGAGTTTGACAAGGACTGGGGTAATGGAGGTGCGGAGTTTAGTGCGGGTGAGTATTCGGGCGGTGGAGTTTCGAATCAGTTGAATTTTGTGAACAGTGGAGCAGGGGAGACCAGGGAGGAGGGTGTTTAAATAGCGGACGAGGGTTTCAACAGCTCCTGGAGTCTCAGGCGCAGGCTGGTAAGAGCCAAGGATGGGAGTGTGCGAGTTCTGCTGGAGTCTAACCAGCTACGACCGCATAGTCTGCCATTAAAAGCAGTGCCTGGCAAGCTTTCCTGCTGCTTGTCCAGCGAGGACCATCCTACCTGTGAGGGCTTTGACTTGCTGTGTTAACGGGAGCTGAGTGGGATGACTTCCCGGCTCCAGTGACTGGTCTGCCCTTCGAAGTCCTGCCGCGGGGAAAAATTATTTCAGGAATATGATTCATCTGTACTGTTCGGAATTTTATCAAATGTACAAAGTCGCAGTAGGAAGAAACCCCTTTCACAGATGCCCTTTTGAGAGCAGCAGGCGAGGAATTTTTGAAGGTTACCGAGAGATGCTCATCACCCTGAGGTCAGTCGAGCGCGGAAATCTCTGCTGTCGGACTGAATCGATTCCTAATGAGAATTTTAGCATTTCGTGAGTTGGGAAGTGAGAGATTCCAGGAGGAGGTAAGTGACTGGTTGGCAATGAGGACTGACAATATTTAAATAAAACCCTCAAGTGTAAATAGCTGACACCGAAACCCGCATGCCCACTTTGTATGTGCTGACAGGGTCGGAGTACTTGTCTGACTTTACGCTTCCAGTTGAACTGGTTACCGGGGTTTGAAAAGAACTATCAGTGTGAGAGACGCTTATTTTTTTTTAACTCCGTGACACTTACAGACATCGGAAGCTGAAGATTGTCACTGCATTTACAGGATCGCTAAAACCTGGGATCTTGAACGCTTGAGCGAAACAGTTAGTAATCCCCGACTGTCTGCTCCAGATGTCAACAGTAATCTGCTAAAAACAAAGTGCCTGGCGATATCCGTGCTGCCTGTTACACTGACCCTGTGCTGCTCAATCCATTCAGTTGTTTTGTAAACCTATTAGAAGCCAAATAGAAAGCAAAATCAGCAGCTGACTGCGCTGTGTTCTATTAGGGCGGCTGTTGGTTGACAAATTATAGGGGAGTATAATGCTACAGCTCGGAAACAGGTCAGTTGGTCGGTGAAAGTCCCGGAAGCTCTGGAACGCTCTCCCTCTACCCCTCCGCCTCGCCCCCTTCCTTCCCCATCTTCGGCTCGCGCCTGAAGACCTTGCTTTTCGACCGTGCCTACGGACACCTTTCCCCCCCCCCCCACCCTCCGGCTCGGTGTCGTGCTCTGGGATGCCGCCCTGCGTGAGGGGGCGCTGTGTAAAGGCAAGTTGTTGTTGTTGTCGGCACCGGAACTTTTCTCAATGTGAAACCACCGAATCTGATTCCGCTTTCCTGCTCACTCCCCATCCCCTGTCATAGAATTATACAGCGCAGAAGGAGGCCATTCAGCCCGTCATGTCTGAAAAGAGCTTCCAAATCAACCCCACTTCCCCCCCGCTCTATCCCCATAGCCCTAGTCAACCCCACTCCCCCTGGAAACTTGTCCTCCCCAAACACCTATCTACTTCTCTCTCGAAAGTTGTTATGGAATCGGCTCCCACCAGCCTTTCAGGCAATGCATTCCAAATCCGAACAACTCGCTGTGCGAAAACATTTCTCCTCACCGCCCCTCTGCTTCTTTTAACAACTATTTCAAATCGGTGTCCTCGGCTTACTGTCCAGTGGAAATAGTTTCTCCATTGAACGTTCCTCTTTTTCAAGCGCCTATCTGATGTCCCTCTGGGCGGGCTGTTATACTGCAGTGGTCTGAGACCTCCAGACCAGACCACTTGGCGTTAAAATGCCTAACTTCCACATTGTTTGGTGGACGCTGCATGGGTGAGGACTGGATTGGCTCGGTCATGATGCCCCAGCAATCAAATAGGTCGTTAAATCTCACCACCAATTGCTCAGAGACATAATAATAATAATAATAATAATCCTTGCATTTGATATAGTGCTTTTCACGTCGGGAGGACGTCCCAAAGCGCTTCACAGAATATACTGTAAAGTGAATTGACTGTATATTTGAGGGCGAACGCGGCAGCCAATTGCGCACAGCAATGTCCCACAAACAGTCGTAGATTGAAAATGACCAATTTATTATTGTTTTTGGCTTTGAAGGGATTATTATTAGGCTCTGTGTGGAGTAAGGAAACTTGCCCAAGGTTTCGCCCTCTGCCTGGAATTGAACTCAGGTCTCTCACTTGCAAAGCGAGTGCTCTAACCACTGAGCTACAGGACTCCACGAGTCCACGAGACATGGGTAACTGCCACTGAAATCGGGTACAGGATGAAGACTGCGGAGTTTCTGTACCCCGGTAGAAGGAAAATGGAGCTCAGTGTGTGTCGTCAGCCTGGTTCAGTTGGGAGCACTGTCGCCTGTGAATGAAACCCATGTTGGTTCATATTTTCTAGGCTGACACTCCATTGCAGTACCGGGGAGGGGGTGAGGGGGTGTTGCTGAATTATCAGATGAGATACTAAACTGATGTCCCATCTACCTGCCATTAAATGACCCACGATGCTGCTTGAAATGAGAAGGAAGTCTCTCGCAGTATCCTGGCCAACAATCCTCCAGATAAAATTGGTCAATCCGCTTTATGGCTGTCCGTGGGACATTGCTGTGTGTTAATGGGCTGCGGTGTTCGCCTGCAAACTTCGCGGTACTCTTCGCAGTTTATCCTGTGGAGCGCTTTGAGACGACCTCCTGATGTGAAAGGCATTACACCAAAAATGCAAGGATTATTATTTATTATTATTCACGTGTTTGGGGAGACGACAAGAGTTAGGAGAAAACTTGGCAGAGAGGAAATGAGTAGAGAAAATAAACTGAAAACAAGTAAGATAGATGCTGCAATTGTTATTGGAGAGTCAGGATGGAGGAAAGAAAGAAGGCTTAATGGAAAAAATAATATTAAATTACTGGAATAAACGGTGATGGAGAGAGAATTAAAATGACAATAAAACCAAAGCGTTCAATAAATGATCCTTAATTTATATAGTGCCTTTAATGTTGTGAAACAGGGGATTGCTGTCCAGTGCAGTTAAATATGATGGATAGTTTAATATGGTGCACAAAATTCCCCCAATAAAGTCAGGACCCTGAGAAAAACTTCCTTCTCTTTTCAAATGTCAATGGTATCTTCAATAATATTGAAGAAGAAAAAAAATAATAATAATCCTCACAATTGAGCACGTCAGAAGGACTCAAAGGATTTACTGTCAAGTAGAGTGACTGTGCTTGTGGGTGAACTTGCGCAGCCAATTTGCGCACGGCAACATCTCACGAACCCACCTCCACAAAGTGGGCTCGCGAAACCACCTCACGAGCCCACTTTGACGCACAGCAAGATTTCGGGTTAAAATCCTGGGGGATGGGACCTGCTGCAACACAACCTCCGGTGTTGCATCAGTCTGGACGGGTTGGGGCTTGAACCCACACGACCCTCTGACCCGGAGGCTAACAACCGAGCCAAGCTGAGAGGATGGGATTGGATTTGGCGAATGCAGTGAATGGCGAATGAGTGTTGGTGCTGGAGAGTGACTGCGCAGGGTTGGCAGAGCTCGCCTGACTGCTTCTTTCGTGGGGTTTCGCTGCTCGCGCCAAACTGCGCATGCGAGCAAAAGCAATCGCGCCACGTTGCCGTGTGTTTGCGCTTGCGCTTTGCCGCTGATTCACTGGAGCACCGTTAAATCACGTGGCGACGTGCAAACAGCAGCTTGGGAGACGCACGTCGCTTGGTTCAGATCATGTCGCGGCCGATGAACCACAAGCGGCTTTTCGCTCACTCGAACCCAGAGTGCGTGACCGGCCGTGGATTTTTTTTGACCATCTGTACCCGTTTCACGTTGCTAACCCATCTGAGCTCTCGACGTTTTTCCCGGTCTCAGTTTACGTATCGGTAACAAAGGAAGACTCTCTCAAAGTAATTGCCGTCCACGTTCTTGGGAGAGAGGGCGGGGGGAGGGGGTTGGGGGGGAGGAGAAGAAATGAGTAGGTTGCACCTGCTCTCAGTCCACGGTGCATTGTCTGTGTGTATCTGTTTAAGACGTTGTCGGTACACTTTGGCGATTCAGGGACTAGACTACCCTCGGTGAGCACAGCAATGTTTGCAGGACGAGGCCTCGTACTGGGTTCATTTGTCAATTTGAAATTTGTTCTCTCCTGTTATAATGCGTTTTTTTTAATCTTTCACAACTATTAAACCTTTCTATTCCTCCCGGGATCTCGAGAAACACTTCCGTTAGGAATGTAAGAATGGGAGGTTATTCAGCCCATCGAGTCTTTTTTCGCCAGGACGTTAGGTTGTGACAGATCTTTGACATCTTCCGTGCAAGTGGTGGCGGAGCCTGAGCCACTCTGGGCACCAATAAAAACCTGTAGCGCAGGGGTTAGAGCACTCACCTCGCAAGCGAGAGGACCTGGGCTTGATCCTCCGGTAGGTTAGGTCATGGGCGAAACCTTAGGCAAGTTTCCTTGCTACACACACACGTCTCTGCTTAACTACCAGTAAGTAGAAACCTGGTTGTTAATCGATTGGCGGATATCCTTCCGGGGGTAATAATCCCTTCATTAATAAAATAATAATAATTTGGTCACTCAATCCACGACTGTTTGTGCGATGCTGTTCTGCGCAATTGACTGCCTTGTTTTGCCCATGAAATACAGTCACTATACTTTACAGTGTATCCTGTGAAGCGCTTTGAGACGTCGCAACGACGTGATAAGGCGCTGTATTAAATGCAAGGGTCATTATTATTTTATACGTATCCTTCACTTGCCGCGTACCTATCCAATTCCCTTGCGAACATCACAATTGATGCCGTCTCTGAGGCCTTGTTCATCAGTCATTCTACTTTTCTGTAACCCTCTGCCCAAAGCTCTCTCCGATCTCTTTGCCAACCAGTTTAGCTCTAGGTTTAAGAATATGTCCTTTGTCTATCCCTCCAATTGAGGGGAGAGTTCCTGTGTAGATTGTCATTCCCTTCATTATTTCATACCTCGCAATCAGATACTTTTGTTCACCTCCTCAACCCAAGTCTTATCCCAGTGAATTGTCACTGGACCGCTTTCAAGGCCAGATCATCTCTCTGTGTTGTTTTAATCAGACCACATTATTGGCTCTCCTTTAAATCTGAAATAGAAATAGCAAGCATGGTAAATGTACGTTCTTGTAATGAAACAACACAGGTCTCTTGAGGCAATTATTCCCTTTGGTTCTCAATCCAGTTTTAAAATTCATCCCCATCTCCTTCGAGAAGACTTTTGTTTTATTCTTCTGAAACACGGAAGAGAGTTCCTCTACCCCGTCGAAAGTAAAAAAAAAAAATGACAAGTCTGCGGGGAAAGAGCGGGACAGAGGGACTAATTGCCCTTCAAAGAGCTGACACGGACACGATGGGCTGATTGACCTCCTTCTGTGCTGTCGGATTCTATCATTCAGCGAATTCCCACTTTCAAGCCTTACCAAAGGCTGTAAGGTTTTCCTGGCGTGAATTACTTGCCAGCTTTGGTAAATTGACCAGCGGAGATACGGGGTGTTTAATCCGTTGCTCTAACACCAGGGACTCATCAATATTGAAACGCAACAACAGAACGACACAGAGGGAGCTGTACGTGAAAGAGAGAGACATCAATCTTGGGAACGACTCCCGGCTGCACACTCCAACCATAATAGCCGTGTGCAGAAACCTGGCACGAAAGGGAACTGTTTCACGCAGACGCCGGAAGGACCTGAACTTCAAATCAGCGCAAATGATCTGATTGCTCCAATCGAAATCAAATTAGAATTTCCCTGAATGATTCCAGAGTAGCTTAAAACTGAGGTCAGATCCCTATCCGCTAAATAGCATTCCAGTATTTTATGGTAATATTTGTAATTGGCATTTTCTATTCACGGATTTAATTTAGTGGGCGCTTAACGGCCTTTTTGCCTGGCTGTCTGTATCAATTTGCTGAACAAATTGCACTAACACTTATAGGGTACCCTCCACACAGGGCAGCATCTCAGAACGCTCATTTTGTCCCGGGCGGTACCTTGAAAGAAGGCAAAACACTTTGCTCCCCACGTGAAACAAAATTAAATTTGTCAATTCGTTGTTAATAAAATCCGGCGCATTCGAATCTCTGCCGTCTGTGTCCTCACACCACAAAATGGTGTAACCCCATCCTCCCAGTCCTTGTCAGCCTCCCCTTTCGTAGAACAGGTCGATTTCAACCACCTCACACTCATTCCCTGGCATCTCCTTACCTTTCCATGTAACTTTCCAAGTGGAGTCCTGCAGCTCAGTGGTTAGAGCGCTCGCTTTGCAAGCGAGACACCTGGGTTCAGTTCCAGGCAGGTCAGGGCGAAACCTTGGGCAAGTTTCCTTACTCCATACGCCTAATAATAATCCCTCCAAAACAAAACAATAGTAAATTGGTCATTTTCAACCCACGGCTGTTTGTGGGGACGCTGCTGTGCGCAATTGGCTGCTGCGTTTCGCCCACAAAATATACGGTCAATTCACTTTACAGCATATTCTGTGAAGCGCTTTGAGAGGTCGAGAAGACGTGAAAAGTGCTATATCAAATGCAAGGATTATTATTATTATATTATAACCTGCTTACATTCCATTCCGCCACCCATTTTCCCCTCCGCCATGTCCCTGCACCCCACCACCACCGACGACCGTGCTTTCAGCCCCCACACCCCAAAACTATGAAACTCGCAGCCCCCGTCCACCTGTCTTGCCCCCTCTCCTGAACCTCTTTCAAATCGCACTGGAAGTCATTCCTCGTCGGCCGTGTGTACGATCGCCTCCCCTTTCCCTCTCCCAGCCTTGATGTCAAGCTCCGCCTTTGTTCAGCGATCTAATATGTTTGCTCCACATATAGGGCTCTGAGAGGCTATACCCTGCGTGGAAGTCGTAGTTGTTGTTGTTGTTGACAAGTGCAAGTTGTTGTTGTTGGATAGAACTGCATCCAATGACACAGTCTGCACTGAGTTTTGTTGGTCTGAGCCAGGGCCGAATTGACCGCAGCTTTTCCCCCAAGTGCGGGACATGGTTCTTGTGCCTTTTCAGCGCTGTGAGACGCCTCAAAGATGTGATGAGGCACGACAGCAAATGCAGGGATTATTATCACGACGATGATGATGATTATTATTGTGAATGATGGCAACTTGGGTGGGTTACTGCAGGGCAACAGCGTGGGATACCTTCCCCCCACAAAACAGGTGGACGTTTTAATTCAGGGTAGTTTCTAGATGCGTAAGAATGCGACCTAACGTTTAAATGATTCACATGATTATACTGTACTTTATGTGGTTTACACGCAGCATTTGACAATGTAGTAGCTCGGCATTACTTGCTAAACCTCGACCTTGGGTCAGTCTGGCTCAGTTGGTAGGGCTCTCGCCCCTTGAGTCAGAAGGTGGTGGCTTCAATCCCCACACCAGGACTTTGAACTCATTTAAGTCAACCCTGACACTGCAGGGCAGGAGACGTTAAACTGCGATCTCTTTAAGTGGGTTGTCAATCTGTCTCACTCATTGCGATTGCTCCTGTTTTTCCTTCAGGTTTACCAGGACTGTATGTAATATGCGCTCAATGCTTCTGTCTATTTTCTGCACTCAAGGTAAGCCTTCCTATCTTGCAGTGACGGTGAACCGAACCTTTAGCCCCCACCACGAAGAGAGATGGGTAGAAAGGCGCCTGAGGTCCTCATCTGAGGGAACGTCTGGAAGCAGAATGAGCCACAGCATGAGAGACGGGCGAGTGGAAGAACTGAACAGTCTGAGAAAACCGCGAACAGATTCATCGTCTTCGAAGATGAACAGCATGGTGGGTGCATTGAGATCGACCTTATTTTCCCCTGTGGCAATGTGTTTTAATATTTGTTCCAGCGGATTTTTTTATTTATTTTTTATCCACCCTGTGTTGTTTCATTGGAATAGTCTGAGAAAGTTCCATTCAGCGAATATAGATATTTCTCAACACGTTAACAGTGCAGATCTTTTCGAAACGTTTCCTGGTGTTTGTCCTACACTCGTCCTTCACAGTCCTGCGCTCTCTTGCCCTTCTGGGTCAGTGCATCGAAATTTAATCCGTGTTTATTCTTTTTTTTATCCCATGAAGCATTTCCTGTAGCTGTGTAAAGTCACCGTGATAAATCTCTTTCTGAGGAAGAGGAATGCTGGTTTATCTAACCGTTGCCGTGTTAGTACCGCGTGAAGGGAGTATTTAACAGCGTGGTGTTGTGTAGGGCTACTTCGGATGTTTGATGTCCATAGTCCGCTTGCTTTGTTGGACCAGCAGAGCTCTGAAATAAATATAAAGCTTTAGTCAAGCCCTCTGCGATAGAAAAAAATGACCTTAAATTCTATCAATACCTGCGTGAAATTGAAGGCCCCCAAGAGCGATAGTGAGAGGGATATTTTCCGTACGTTCCCATAACGCTTCTTCCTCAATAAATCATAACAAATGGTCATCTTTGCATCGATATAGCTTCCTTCAAATCGCGAGGATGTCTTAAAGCGATTGACGCGATTTTACTGTGAAGTGTAGTGGCTGTGTATTTTGCAGATGAACGCAGCAGCCCATTGAGCCAGCCTGATGTCACAGGGAGAGCCATCCCCTTGAAGGCTGTTCTCTCACCCACTGATTTTAACTCCGTTGGGATTTGTATCCGTACAATAAAATTATTCACCCGGGCAGAAGGCTGTTCATATCATCGGAAATGTTCTATCAGAGACGCACGATGTCAGTGCGTTTCTAAGAAGGGCAAATTAGGTTCAGGTGTTGTCTCCTCTGAAAATGTGCCCTGTATTCCCACTACTACACGTTGTGGATGGTTTGTTTGCTGTGGGGCTTTGCTGCTGCTGATGCCAATTCTCTGAAATACTGAAAGAATCATTCCTACGATCTGGATCTTGCCTCCGATAGTCTTGTCTCAGCAACCAGTGCCCTACAATCTCTATTTCTTCGGATTTCAGAGCGAAGAGGGAGATTGGAGAAGATAGGTAACAGTAAAGCTCGCAATTTATTGGACGCACAAATTCATAAAATGCCACAGAAAATCTGCCAAACTCCTAAAAGATCAATTTCACTCGCAGGAAATCCTAATAAGAAATTGTTTTAGCACTTTATGCAAACGTCGAACAATAAATCCAGTTAACTGGTTGCTGTAGATTTCAATGAGCCCCATTTCACGTACAGTCAATCCTGACATGACACATTTATTTTACGCTAATTCAAATGAACCCCAGCTATTAGAATTTACTATCTGTAAATTGTAATAAAGCTCATTTCACCTACAGTTACTACTAATGAGATCCATTTCATATCCATCGGTAAATGGATATTAAAGGTCCCAGAACACCATTCAAACGGAGAAGTGAGTTTCTCCCAGTGTTCTGGATAAATTGTTCATTCATTCAAGTTTGTGGGACCCTGCCTCAGTGTTTCCCTGCAATAAAAATAGGGATGATATTTGAGAGTAATTGCTTGTCAAGTGCTTTGAGACATTTTATCATGAATTGGTACCGTAAAAGTACAAGTTCTTTACAGTCACAGTGATTTCTAATGAGCCCCATTTCATCACGAGACACGTCATAACATCACGAGATTGGTATGGATGAAGAAGGCACTTCGAATCATCCAATCTCATCATCCCATTGCACCCAAACAACTATCCTCCCATTCACAGCATCAGTCTTTTTAATGGAGTCCGGTGTTCTGGTCTCAACTATGTTTCCTAGTGTTCTGGTCAGAGTTTGACCAGAACCGTACGCAGAACTCCCAAGTGCGGTTTGACCAGAACGCAATACAGACCGAATAGAATATTGCTTCTGGGATCTAAACTTAACTGATTTAGCTTCATAGCCAAACATCCTCTTTGAGGATCATTGTTCTGTAAAAAATTGCCGTTCTTAAATCCTGTGGTACACTTTGAAACATCTTTCCAAGAAGCACTATGTCAAATGCAAGGATTATTATTATTATTATTATTATTATTATTATTATTATTATTACAGCAGTAAATGCCATATTCTAGTGCCAATTTAAGTAAATGAGTAAGATTGTTCAGCCGTGTCTGTCAGGGTCAAACGAAAGGGATTAGTATTCTTCAAGCTGGTGTGTTGTGTGTTCTTGTTGCATGGTTAAAAACTATTATAATCTTGTTATTTTTATGCTATGCCAAGATATTGAATAACATATCTAAAATTAACTGCAATGGATGCAAACCGTTGGATAATTTTAAAAAAGTTGGATTTGGATATCGCACCTCTAATCTCAAAATATCTCAAAAAGTGCCTCATAAGCAATTGGTATCAAGTGTAAGTGACTGTGTATTTGTAGGATAGCAAACGTAAGGTCCCACCAATGGCAATGACCAATTTATGCCTAGTCTGGATTTTGAGCTCAAGTCCGCATTGGTGTGGGGCTACTGAGCTTATCCAACTCTTTATTAATTCCATTGTAGCTCAGTTGCAAACGCAAAAGCCTAATAATAATCCCTCCAAAAACAAACAATAATAAATTGGGTCATTTTCAATCCACGGCTGTTTGTGGGGACGCTGCTGTACGCAATTGGCTGCCGCGTTTCGCCCACAAATATACAGTCAATTCACTTTACAGTCTATTCTATGAAGCGCTTTGAGACGTCGAGAAGACGTGAAAAGCGCTACATCAAATGCAAGGATTATTATTGTATTATTATTATAAGTCATGTTTCTGGCTTCGCAGGATCCAAATGTGCACAAAATGCTGGTGGAGCCTCTGCACGTTTAGGATGACGATACTATATTTGTGCGTAGAAGTTATACGTTTTTTTATTTTAATTCTTAGAATCTAGGGATCTATAACGTTCAACGGGTTTCTTAATTTTCTTCTCGTTATTTCAGCCCTGCTGCTTTTTGTTCACCAATTACACCAGCGTGATTCAGTTGGTAGGCACTCCTTCCTCTGAGCGAGACATTTGTCTCAGCAGTCGAAGTTCAGGACTTTCGAGTCCTTTGAGCTCAAAACCCAGTCTTTGGAAAGAGAAGGGAGATTCTCCCTGTGCCCTGGCCAACAATTCTCCGGGCAAAAGGAGTCATTCACTTCCCAAAATGTTCGGGAAATTGGCTGCAACCTTTTCCTGCACGGTCGCTGCATTTTGCAGGAAATTCCGACGCATTGAGATGCTGAAATATTTCTCTTTTCGAGTAAGACGCCAGCCAAACGCAAGGATTATTATTGTCAACGCGGATTGCGACTTTGGGAGCATCTTTGACTTTAATAGCTGCGTTATGTGCAAAGAATATTGTGGTTTTAAGTAATGCAGAGTATTACTGATATGTTAATATAATACATTTCCAATGATCGCGCTGCAGTGAAGTGTTTCGACAATGTTCAGGATCAGTGGCCAACCAATGGGCGTACGTTAAGTGCAGTAAATTTTCATTACTAATAAACAGTCCTTTGGAAATCAAAGCAATGGATAAAATGTTGACTGGGCTCCTTTCAGCGGTGAATAAAGGAGAATTGCTCAAATCTTAGTGAGAAATCAGGCTCCAGAGAAAAATAATACAAGGATGACAAAAAAGGCCTTTTGTGGTCAATTACCCAACGTTCAGCAGACATTCATAGTACCTTCAACCAACCTTCACTTAATTGCTCCAAATCATTTAAATGTTTTCACACAGTGCTTTCCGATGGCTTCATTTCAGCGTGGGAAGCTCTGGCTTTTTTTTTCCTAATATAAGACCTGGCTTACAAACAGCAAATTGAGATAGTTTTGGTTTGTCCTATCCCTGAATATCGTCGCCAGCATTTACAGCTTTGCCTTGTATCTGACGTAACTTTAACCTGTATTAATATGCGGTATTTTCGTTGCATCTTTTTTTTAAAAAAACGCGATGCAACTTGTGCAAGGCTTGTGTCCACGTGTTATTTGCGACTTTGTTTTTTTTGCGCGTTGCTCTTCCATTTTGTCCATCTGTACCGATACAGCGCTTTGGGACGTCCTCCTGACGTGAAAGGCGCTTTATAAATGGAATCTTGTTGTTGTTGTTGTTGATACTAACAGGAGCATTTGGTCAACAATCCCCAGATAGTAATTGCACATTCGCTTCATAGCTGTTTGCGGGACGTTGCTGTGTGCACATTCGCTGCTGTGTCCGATGCGTGTCTACGGCTATCGAGAAAGATTGGAATAGGTTAGAGCTTTGCTGTCTGGAGATGAGACCTTACAATCGGTGAGTCCAAAACAAAGGGACATAGATATAAGGTGACTCGTAGCAGATCTAAAAGGAGGTTTAGGAGGAACTTTTTTTATGCAGAGGGCGGTGAGAACGTGGAACGTAATGCGTCAAGTTTCCAATCTTTGCTGGATTCTCAAAGTAGGTAATAATAACCCTTGCATTCAGTATAGTGGCTTTTCACATTAGGAGATCCTTGCAAAGCATTTCACAGGATAGACCGTCAAGTGGAGTGACTGTGCGTCTTTTTGGGTGAAAGCAGCAGCCAACTTGCACGCTGCAATATTTAACCAACAGCTGTGGAATAAGTTTAATTATATAAACAACTGGTGTTTATTTAGTCGTGCCTTTCATCCAAAATAATGTCTTGAAACATTCCGGAAATGAGAATAATTTTAAAAATGAAAGGAATATAATGCGATTGCTGCTCAACATCAACCGAAACAGTTGAACCAAAAATTTCAGATGATTTTAGGCACCGAAAGGCTGCCAATATTCACCATTGAACGTGGTAGTTATCGACCAAGGTTTCATAATAAATAATAATAATAATCCTTGCATTCGTTATTGCGTCTTATCATGTCTTCGAGACGTCTCAAA